AAAGTCCCTCCCCAGCCTTCCTGCAGCCCCTCCATCCCTTGCCAGGGGCCTTTCACCACCAGGAACATCCCCCTGTGTGAGGCTGAGGCGCCAGCACCCTGAGGGGACTGTCCTGAGCTGTGCACGGGATGGAGCAAAGGCCGCACAAGTCACACTGAGGCACTCGGAGGCCTCACGTCCCTTCCTCGCAGTCAGAGAGCCGCCTGCGAGAGGCCATGCTCCTCCAGAAGCACCGGGGCGGCTGTCAGCGCCGAGCTCTGCTCTCCTCCCGGAGCTCCTCGGCAGCATTGGGACGCTGCTGTCACAGCGCTGCTCCGAGGGCTCTGTCAGGCCCTGAGGCTGCACGAGTCAGGCCACCCTCTTCTCCCTCCTCCTTTCCCCAGGCTGCTGCACAGCAGCGGCTCCCCAGGCTGCCGAGTCCTGCACTGCCTGGATGTGCTGAGGCTGCAGAACATAACTCCAAATGGCAAAGGGAAGACTTTTTATAGCTCATGAACTCCAGCACTAGTGCAAGGCGTGGGGTGTCAAAACGCGAGAGACTTGTGCACTGGCCACCCCCAGGTGAGACTCAGGACCTTCAGCAAAGGCTGGAAAGGCACAGGAGGAGGGATGCACAAAGCACTTCCACAGCAGAGGAGCTAACAGCTAAACACAACTCCAAAACACAATCCTGGATCCTGCTGCAGCTCCAGGCAGGTGCTGGCAAGAGTTTAGTGAGCTGAGGTGAGAGACTGGAATGTGTCGAGTGAAGAGAGCGCAGAGACCCTCTCTCCTGTATGAGCCTCGTGTCCAAACGCTTGAGCTGGGATTCCTGAAGCACTTCAAGACAAAGGGAACTAGAAGTTGTGCCAGCCCTGCAGGAACACGCTGGACTTCCTTTATCCTCCCTCCAACCTCAATAAAGTTCCTCATTAGAGGAAGCCGATGCTGGCTACTTTCCGTACGATAGCACAGTTGAATTTAAAGGTCGTAGGGTGCCTAGTGAGAAAGCGTGTCTAATAAAAGGCACAGAAACAACTGCAGTGCCAGCAGATTAAATTCCCCTAGCAAGAGGCTGAACGGAGGGCTAAGAGTCCTGGAAAGGTCACTCAGTACGAGATGCATTTCAAAGAAAGACGGGGAGAAGGCAAGACTGGGAAAAGCAGTTGGGGAGAGATGAATAAAACAACACAGCATGTCCCAAAGAGCCAAGACATCAGAGAAGGGGAGGCCTGGGGTACACGGGGCACAGTGGGGTCCTGGCCCAGCTCCTTCAGGCCCCAGGTAGCAGAGTTAAGATTCTGTAGCCAGGTCAGCACTGCAATCTCAACCTACAGTCAAACTTTAACGCTGGAACCACTGCTGAGAAAAAGCAAGTGGGACACTGTATTATGTTGTGACTAAACAGTGACCTGCAGGGACATTCTTGCTGTTTCTGGGACAGCACACAAGGGTGCAGAGCCAGGAGGGAACTGACAGTGCCCTGTTCTGCACTCTTAGCAAGTCCAGCAGGCACCAACCCAAAGACAATGATGCACCAGAGCCGCGGAGCAAAGAATGCATCTCCCCTCTCCTCTCCAAGTTTATTATTATTTAAAATCTTCGTAAAGTACAGTGCTAGTCAGAGACCCCATGGCACTAGGATCCAGAACGGGGGTGGACAGCGAGACCTGCAGCAGCTCTGGCCTGCCAGCCCAGACAGGGATCAGTGAACCGCTGGACACGCTGGCCTGAGCAAACATGAGCAGAATGAGCCAGCTTCAGAGGACCAGAGAGGCACGTGGCACCTGCCTGGACAAGGGGCAAGTTTCAAAGGCACAACACGAGGCATGAGACCTCTGTCCTTTCCTGTGATGTTGGAGGTCTCCTTGTACCTCTTGTGGATCAATGTCCATTGCTGCCCCTTATGCCAGTGGGTAGTTTCCAGCACCCTCACAGCAGGGAAACTGTGGAACCTGCTCTCTCAATTCCTATAAAGCCACATGTAGAAGCAAAGACCAGGCTAAGGCATAGACAGGAGCAAGCCAGAGAGAAGGAAAAAAGCTGCTGTGAATCATTCATCTAAAAGCAACATGACCCAACTGCTTTGTCAGGTACACTGCCAAGGGTTACACAGCCTGCCAGCTGCTCAGAAAGACTTTGGGGCAGTTGGTCCCTGCATTGCCAAAGCCAACCAGAGGACAAACAGATACAAAGGAGAAAGGCTTTCTGGGGACAGTCAGTGGGCTTGGAAGTAGCACAGGCAAATCTGTGACAACAGGAGAGTTCCCCGAGTGCAGGGGCCAGGTTTGATTGCGAGAGCAAAAAAAAACTTAAATAAACAATCTCTAAAGTCTCACTCTGGGGCTGCCCTCACACACAAAGCACTGG